ATGGACGAAAACATAGAAGAGACAATACAAACCATCTTAACCACGTGGAATGAGGCCGAAGCCCAGGCATTATGGGACAGCCTCCTACCTTCCGGGGAAAAGGAAAAAACTCAGCCGCTACCACCAGGCAAGCGACCACCAGTGGACGCACCACCAAAAAGGAGGCCGGCAATACCCTGCGAAAAAAACACCACCATCAGCGAGAATCGCAGAGAAAAAGCTGAAGTTGTTAATGGGAGAATAAATACGCCCAACACCCACGAGACGTCGACCACATATCAACCCGGTGGTCTGGGGCCAGAGAACTAGAAACAACACGGCGCAATCCGGGAATATAACACCACCAGAGAAAAATCAAACAGAAGACAGCCATAAAAAACCAGGCAAAACAACACCACCGGTATCCAACATTCAAATAGTCACGGACATAATTCTACCAGCAAACAAACACATAAAATTAGAAAGGACACCACAAACCAAAACACCACCAGCAACAACGATCACGCTCGACAACGGAAGAACAATATATATACCGTACCACGCGGTGCACACAGCAAGAAGGTATCGCCGCTTCATAGACGGGGAGCTGTGGCGATTCCGCTTCGGTCCTACGGGCACACTCAAATACGCCCGAAGGGCCTAAAAGGCACAGAAAATAGAAACCGGAGGAACTCTGCGACCTCCGGTACCACTATGCCGACACCAGAGGTCAACCCGGCGACCTCTGCACAAACGACGAACAACCGTCACCAACACCAATCTTGTCAGCAAAGACAAACCAAAAGGAGAGGGGAGATATCTCCAGGAGAAGGGAGAAAAACACCAAAAATGAGAATAAAAGGAGCCGATCTAGAAAGACCAGACACACTCTACGGCGAACCGACACACGAAAGACACAGAGAGCTAGACACACACACAGCAAAGTCCGACTCACGCAAACTCCAGAGGATGAGCGTCAACAGGGAGATACTCCGGTGGCTGGACAACTGGCAACCGCCTCCGAGAAACGCCGCAACACCAGAGCGCGTGACCAACCCAGTTAAGCCAGCAAACGACCCAAGACAGAAAGACGCAACAACAGTCTTGACGATCACAGACACAGTACCAGCACGGCCACAAGCTCATCCACCACCACAACAGCGGACCGTAAGACTCCCGGACGGGAGACAATTCTCGATACCACGCCACGAATCCGCGAATTATATAAAATATCACGTAGAAATAGACGGCGAAATATGGCGCATTCGTTTTTGGCCATCCGGCGCGGTGAAGGCAATCTATAAAGTGCCCGGGACGTGCACCTAGTCACGCAGGGGGGTGATGTAACGAGCCGTTCGCGAAACAAATAGAAATAGAACAAGAACCGGGTAACGACAATCAAACGACTCGTCACGAAACCGAACGCGACAAACCGATGTAAACATCACCGACCGACCGCAAAGATCACAACATAATAGCATGTTAAAAGAAGTATAAAAGACCGCACGAAAAGCTCAGCGAGAGCAGTCTTCCGAGGCACTCCGCTGAACAGAGCTCCGACTCCGACAGCAATAGCACCTCGCGAACACCGCTAACTAGAACACCGTTTCCTAGACCTTCCTCGTCACCGCTCCGTCGACTTATTGGATACGTAAAGTCGGCATTCCTCGATACCGCTCCGTCGACTTATTGGATTCGTAAAGTCGACATCCGCGTAGACTTATTGGATTCGTAAAGTCTACATCCTTGCTTACCGCTCC